TTTTGATGATTATTTTAATCATACTGAATATAGGGTGCAATATCCTAAGGTAACTAGGGAGAGACTGCAGTATTTGTGTCAGCAGCAATGGCCACACATGGGTGTTGGGTGGGCCCCGGAGGGTACGTTTAAGTTCCAAATCATTGATGACCTAACCTCCTTGATAGCTGCTAATGAGGAAAAATACCCAAATCAGTTTCAGTACATAGATCAGTGGGGAGATGCGGTGGCAGAACAGTCTGATGAATTGTTGCAATGTCAAGCAGAGATGGTGCGAATCTGTGTCGCCAGACCAAAGGGAAAGAATGTAAAGATAATGTCTAAGAAGAGTGAGGGGTGTAAAGGACATAAGAAGGTGTTGGTGCAGGATGAGGAGGAACTCTTGAGGCCTCCTCCATATGTGCCCGTACTCCCATTGACACGGGGTGTTCACGCGCCTGTGCCTTTGGGGGGTGGGGCTGCTGTAGTTGTGGGAAGAGAAAAGGAGGAAAGCATAGCTGGTGAACATGTTAAGCCAGGACGGGTTGTGCGACAGAAAGAGAAGAAGCTTATAAAGGAACAAGCATATGTTATGGGTGAGAAGGCTGAGAGCGATGAGGAAAAAGGGGCTGTTGGGGGTGATATACCAGTTGGAGTAGTGACTAGGGCGGCTGCGGGTAGGGCAGAGGCGGCAGCTGCGCAGCAGGACTTTTTGGGTCCTTTGCACCAGATGGACACACAGGTTGTAAATGCACAGGGGGTGCCAGAATATAGACCTTGCTTTCAATATGTTCCCTTTTCGACAACTGATTTACTGAATTGGAAACAGCATTATGGCCCTCTCTCATCTAAGCGAGATGGTTGATTTATTTCAAACCATAATGCAGACACATAATCCCAACTGGCAAGACATACAGCAGTTGTTGAATACTTTGTTGACACCAGAAGAAAGGGAAAAGTGGAAGGCAGCAGTAAGAATGTGTATGAGAACTAGGTTTCCAAATGTGCAGGATCTGGGACCAGAGTTGGCGGTTAGGGCTCCAGAACGGGATCCAGGGTGGTGTCCTAGGAACCAGGACCAAATGACAGTGTTAAAGGAGTATCAGAATTTGACAGTGGAAGCCCTCAGGAGAGCAGGGAAACCCCCGGTGAATTTGTCAAAGCCATCCTTAGTACTGCAGGAAGGCGATGAAAGTCCAGAGAGTTTCCTCCAACGGTTGATTGAGGCTTATGAATTGTATACACAAGTTGACCCGAGGGCACCAGAGAATGTGAGGATGTTGAATGAAAGATTTATTGCACAGTCAGCAGAGGATGTACGGAAAAAGTTACAAAAGCTAGAGGGAGCTCTAGGGAAGAATACTGCGGAATTGTTGGAAGTAGCTAGAAAAGTGTTTATTAATAGGGACAAGGTGGAGAAGAAAGAAAAGGATGCTCGTATGCATAAGAAGACTGAGCTGTTGGCTGTGGCTTTGCAAGGGAAAACAGCACTTGGGCCAAACCAATGTGCTCATTGTGGTTTGGAGGGGCACTGGCAGAGGGAGTGTCCCAATAGAGTGGCAAGAGGTAGGGGAGTACAGAGGAGGCTGACAGGCCGTAGACCGTTTGGTCGAGGATTCATGGGGCGTGGAGGGCCCCCTCGGTACCCGATTCAGGGAAGGGGCCCTCAACGGACCTCAGCTGGTAGAGGATTTAACAATCCAAGTGGAGAACCAAGAATGGCCGGTATTGGATTAGCTGGCTCTGGGTGGACAGAGTGACGGGGACCTGGCTTGGAGCAGACCCCGCCTGAGCCTATGGTTACTTTGGATATAGGGGGTCATCAAACAACTTTTCTGGTGGATACAGGAGCGGGGAGGTCTGTAGTGAACAATTTGATCGCTGCACCTGGGCCCCACCAAATACAGGTTCAAGGGGTGTCTGGTCAGGTAATGGGATGTAAAGTCCTGAAGCCTGTAACCTGTACTTTTAAAGGTTCTGAAATTCAGCATGAATTTCTATATATTCCTGAGTGCCCAATTCCTCTGTTGGGACGTGACCTCTTAAATAAGCTTGGAGCTACGATATCTTTTAATGAAGGAAAGCAATATTTGACAGTTAGTCACCAACCAGAAGCAATGTGGCGTTTGATGGTAGCTAGACCTGTAGCTGATGCAGACCTTGACAAATGGAAAGAATTTGATGTGCCTGGTTTATGGGCTGAGGACAACCCCCCCCCCGGTTTTGCAGCACACCACCCTCCTGTTATTGTGGAAGTGAAACCTTCAGCTAGCCCAATACATATTAGACAACGTCCATGTTCTAGGGAAGCTATAGTTGCTATCTATGAATGTATTCAGAAATATTTAGAGGCAGGTATTTTGATTCCTATACAATCCCCTTGGAATACCCCAATTTTGCCAGTCCGTAAACCAGATGGGTCTTTTCGGCCAGTGCAAGATTTGAGGATTGTTAACAATGCAACAGTCACTATACACCCCTCTGTATCCAATCCATATACTCTTCTTAGTTTAATACCCCCTCGAGCAAAATGGTTTTCTGTGATTGATCTAAAAGATGCTTTTTTTACAATTCCTATACATCCAGTGAGTCAACCCTTGTTTGCTTTTGAATGGGAACATCCAGCCACAGGAGCAAAGAGGCAGTATACTTGGACTGGGTTGCCACAGGGTTTTAAAAATTCACCTACCCTATTTGGAACCGCTTTAGGAAAGGATTTACAGTATTTTGTGCCAATACAACAGGGTGATACAGTGTTGCAATATGTGGATGATATTTTGATGACAGGACAGTATGAGGATACTTGTTGGGACAACACACAAGCTCTGTAGTTTTTGTTGATGGAATGTGGATACAGAGTCTCAAAAAAAAAGGTTCAGTTGGTGAAACAACAGGTGAGATACCTAGGGTATGATATTATGCAAGGACAAAGGGCTTTGGGACCGGAAAGGAAACAAGCAGTGTTGGAAATAGCTACCCCTGTGAATAGAAGGCAGTTAAGGGGTTTTCTTGGATTGGCTGGATTCTGTCGAATATGGATTCCTAACTTCACTCTTATGGCAGCCCCTTTGTATTCATCTACTAAAGGCAGCAATGTTGAACCATTTGTTTGGACAGGGGAACAACAACAGGCATTTGTGGAAATTAAAAAGGCTTTGACGAGGGCTCCAGCTTTAGCTTTACCAAACTTAAGTAAGCCTTTTAATTTGTATGTAGATACAAAGAAGAATATGGCTTTGGGGGTGTTGACCCAACAACTTGGAAAGTGGCAACAACCGATAGCCTATTTGTCTAAACAGTTGGATTCTGTGGCACAAGGATGGCCGCATTGTTTGAAAGCTTTGGCAGCTGTTGCTGAGTTGCTACAAGACTGCAACAAACTCACGTTCTCATGTCCCATTAATGTATATACACCACATGCTATTCATTCCATTTTAGACCAAAAGGGCCATTTATGGATAAGCAGTCAACGCATAGTGAAATATCAAGCAATGATGATAGAGTATCCACAAGTGACTTTGGTTGTGTCTAACAGATTGAATCCTGCTACCCTTTTGCCTATAGAGATTGAATTGGAACATGATTGTGTGCAAGTGTTAGAAAGTGTGTATTCTACTCGGGCTGATTTATCAGATATACCCATGCCACAGGTGGATTATACTTGGTATACAGATGGTTCTAGCTACATTCGGGATGGGAAGAGGGTGGCAGGATATGCTATTGTGGATGATGAAGGAGTGATAGAAAGTGGACCATTGGGAGGAGGTAAAAGTGCACAAGTTGCTGAATTGTGGGCTCTGGTTCGAGCATTAGAAAGAGCAGAAGGGAAAAAATTAAATGTATGGACTGATAGTAAATATGCTTTCTTGGGTTCAAAAGTTTTATTTCTTTTAAGGNCATGCAAAACTCCATGTAATCCCAAGGGGTTCACATACTTTTTCTTGCAACTGTGTGCCTGTGGGGGGTGGGGCTGCTGCAGTTGTGGAAAGAGAACTTTATTTTACTTTATGATTTTTCAGAGTCCCTTACAAATTCCCCATAGCAGTATTGGTTTCAGGGATAATAATAAGATAGCTAGAAGAAAGGAAAATGGACATCCTACAGCAGGGGTTCTCAACCCCTAGTCCATGGACTGGCAGTGGTCTGTGGCATGTCAGCAAGTGGGCTACACAAACAAGCAAAGCCTCATCTGTGGGATGCAGGCAGCATGCCAAACCACACCCCCTCTGGTCTGCGGAAAAACCTCTCACCACAGAACTAGTCTCTGGTGCCCAAAAGGTTGGGGGCCGCAGCCCTACAGCATAGAGCATATGTAGGAATACTGTAAACCAGAGTATCAATCTCAATTTCATTGAGGTCCGCATCAGGGTTGTGTTTGACCTCGCAGGCCAGGGTGGGGATGGCCAGGGTGGGTATGGCCAGCTTAACATCACTCATGTCAGAGGCGCCTGTGGTGGCCCTAGTGCTCTGCCAGTGAAAACAGGCTCCCAAGCTCCGTTTTAGGCTGTGATGGCCTCCTGCAACCCTCTGCCAGTGAAAACCCCCAACTCCATTTTCACAGGCACAGGCACTGCAGGCCGGTCTTTCCCTGTTTCCATGGCAGCCCCGCGGGCCAGATCTAAGCACCCTGCAGGCCAAATCCACCCTCCAGGCCTTGAATTTGACACCCTGCTGTAGACATAGCACCAATGGCCTCTGTGACTACCTCAGTCAAAGTATAAATAACCTAGGAAAAATGTTCTGACTATTAATCTGGGCATGCTGGATCATATGTCTGAGATAACTATGGCTGATGAACTGCAACACAGATTTTAAACCCAATCTGATTCCAATACTCGCCCGTTCAAGGGGGAAAAAGATGCAACATGAAATCTGAGAACACCACTATGATTTCCTCTCAGAACAGCAAGGGAGTAGAGGAATGGGAATTCTATATGTAAAGATGTTCATTACAGGACTATAGATAGTTCCACTTCTATTGTATTGTATGTACATTGTTAGTTTGTTTCCAAAAGAAATTGCTACATTGTTTCAAAACTTAATGCATACTTTTCACTGCTGAAATAATTTAAAACATGAAATAACTGTTTTTCCAACATAGTTTTATAAACATTCATAAGATTGCTTTCTACAAATTCCTGAGGGTTGAAAAACAAGTAGTATACCTATGTGAGATATAGAAATGATATAGAAAAGTTCAATCCTATTTCTTTAGTGTCTGATTCAGTTGGTGGAATGCATTAAACTGGACATGATAGCTGTCTTCCAGTACTTGAGGGGCTGTCACAATGAAGAGGGGATTAACTTATTCTTTGGGCACCAAAGGCAGGACAAGAAATAATGATAGAACCTGCCAAAGAGAGATCCAACCTAGAAGTAAGAAGAAATTTTCTGATAGTGAGATGGATTAATTAGTGGAATAGCTTCCCTCTTAGAGTTGTGGGTGCTTTTTCACTGGACATTTTCAAGAACAGATCAGACAACCATTTGACTGATAAGGCTTGTGCCTTCAGCTGGGGGTTGAACTAGAAGACTCTGAGGTTACTTCCAGCCTTCTGATTCTAAGAAGGTCCAACTTAAGTTAAAAAAGAAAGGCAGCCATAATATGTTCCTGAACATATATTCACCATTTTCAATGAGAACACCAGAAATTCTAAGTGATCTATAGTAAGGTGAGGACTACCTGTAAAAGACTAATGGTATACAAAAGTATATAATATCAGTGAAGAAACAAAATGCAGATGCTTAGGTTTGTGAATTTGCTAATACAAACAGCTGTCATGGAGCCAAAACATAAGCATCTGACAACTAAGCTGCTTCAATGAAATCAAATTTCAGAAATACTAATCTCAGGGTACTTACGTGGTTTTATAAAAATAATATTCTTGAAGTCAAATGAGAGCTCGTGAACCAAAATAAGACAATTAAGCAACAGATTTATCAGATCAATAAGGGTTTTCAAAAGCACAACCTATGATTCATTCTATAATTTCAAAAGTAGAAATCGGTAGAAGTTTAAAGGGAATTCGGCCCAGGATCGGCAACTTAGCCTAACAGAAACTGCTACATTTGTTGGCATCAAGGAAAAAAAAAACACCTTCCAATTTGTTCTCAGTGAATTCTTCCTGACTCTACAACACCGTAACTCAATGCATATTATAGTGAAGGAAGGACGAGAAAAAACTTATACAAATAGCATAAAAACTGATTTGAAACAGTTTCCACCACAGAGATCGTTGCTTCTGCTCAGGTAGCTATAATCTAATCTGAACTGCCCGATTTGCTAGGAAGTTTCTCGCCAGAACAGCAGGAAAGGGATTTCAGACTAAAGATATTCTAAGGACCAAGTCCCAAGGGTGCTTTTTCAGGACGCCATAGGATAGTGAGGAATGGAAACGCTTCTCATCCAAGAAGCTTCTTCAGCTCTGACAGGGTAGTGGGTTTTGGGCGGCTCTACTGAAACGACTGTATTTTTTTGGAGGTATAATACTTCAAACGAACCAGCCGGCTATTTGGGTTTCCGAGTCAGAGATGCCGCAAAATAAGAGCCGGGAGCGGACCGCCAGCGCTTGGCGCCTATACCCCTTCCCTGCGGCCGTCGTACCTAGGCTCGCTCGCTGGCCTCGTCCCAAAGTACCAGGAGCTTAGTGTAGCCCAACCCACTAGCCGAAGGCGGGAGAAGGTCGCCTCACCGTTTCCATCGCTCGCAAGGGAAGAGGTCGCGCAGAATAGCGCCAGGGAAAAAAGGGAAACGACCACGAGTAGAGAATTCCGGTTAATCATCGTCTCTCAAGGGAGAAAATGGCGGCCTCTTTTCCCGCTCGCCGTCCGCAACGGAGGAGGCTGGAAGGAGCCGGCGAGGCGGTTGAACGAGCCTAGGAAAGTGGTTCATGCGCCTTCCCGCAACAGCTTCTTGGAACTCGGCCTCCGACAGGCTTCGCCTACACGTGAAAGGTCCGGGTTTTTCGAACCAGCGGTAGAGACGATGATTAATCCGCTTCCCTGCGGTTA